CATTTATGAGAGATGGATTTAAGGAGAGAATACTAGATGAAAACAAGGGCGTGCTTATTGGATAGAAATTTATCCGTTCAAAATGACTTATTTTGGTCAATTATATTGGAACAACTCCTCGGTCAAGCCACATAATATCTAACGTGGAAAAGAATAGCATGCATGAAAATGCAAAAAGGAAATAGTTGTTTAGCTAGAAGACAATCTAACAACCTTAGCTATTGAGATGGAGACATGTGTCCCCTAAACCCTAGTCTAGACTCCTTAGCCGTCACATATATATGTGAAAAAACTGAAAAGGAAAAGATATGCTGTAGAGAAGATTTATCATATTTCAATGAACATGAGATTTATGAATCCATTTTTTATGTTTTGTTGCTTTTCCTTTAGCTCAGTGATGCTGCTATATTCCTGTTATGGTATCAGAGCTTAGGCTCTGATTACCTCTAGCTGGTTTGCATTTATTACGTTCACATGGCTCTTACTACCCAAACAAGTGAGCATGTCATACAACTATAGAACCAGCTCATCTCAACCAAGCTAAATGAAGGAAATTTTCTCATATGGGAACAACATATTCTGGCTACCATCAGAGGCTACGATTTATTTGGATATTTAAGTGGAGAAACTCCACCTCCTGATAAGCTAGCTCGAGATCCGGTCACCAATGAGATCACACTCAACAAATCTTACTTGAACTGGGTTAAACAAGACCAGCTCATAGCCTCATGGCTTTTGTCTTCACTCTCAGAATCCATTTTAGTCACCACATTTGGCTTAAACACAGCTAAGGAGATTTGGGATTGTCTCAAAAAGAGTTTCTCTAGTCACAGCCTAGCAAAACAGATGCAACTTAAGCTTGAGCTTCAAACCCTAAGAAAAGGAAACCTGAAAATTAGGGAATACTTCAACAAACTCAAAGGAATTTGTGACATGCTAGCTGCAGCTGGACAAAGGATTGAAGAAAATGATCAAATTTTGCATCTCCTCTCAGGTCTTGGTCAAGAATATAATCCAGTTGTGGTAAACTTGACCTCAAGAACAGAAAAATGCTCCATGATGGAAGCATACTCCATCTTACTCAGCTTTGAAAGTAGAATGGAAAGTTTTGAAAAGGCTGTTGACTCAGAAGGTTCATATCTTGCTGCAAACCTAGCCACACACTCTTCATTCAGAGAAAAAGGATTTAGTGGAAATAGAGAAAGGTCAGGAAATCAGTTCAACAGATTTAGAGGAAGAGGCACAGGGAGAACAGGAGCATTTAGAGGTAGAGGTGGAAGATCCTACTCTAATCAAAACAGGCCAAGATGCCAAATCTGCAATTATAATAACCATACAACAAAGGAGTGCTATTTTAGGTTTGATCCTAATTTCATTTCTAGAGATGCCAATCAATCTTCCTCTAATGCATCTTCAAGTGGTGTGACTGATTCATCAGCTCATGTGGCTAGTCTTGGTTCTCAATCTAGTGAAACTTCTCAAGATTACTATTGGTTTCCTGATTCTGGAGCAACACATCACCTCACCAATGATTTTCAGAATTTAAATGTGGCTAGTGACTATCAAGGCAGTGAAAGAGTTCAAACAGCAAATGGATCAGGTATGAGTATAGCTCATCTTGGTAATTCTATGGTAAAATGCCCTTCATCAACTAATCCACAGATCACTGAAAACCTTCTTAGTGTTTCACAGTTTGCCAAAGACAATTCAGTCTTTTTTGAATTTCACCCAAATTTATGTTTTGTGAAGGATCTCAAGACGGGTGTCCCTCTATTCCAAGGCACACTTAAGGATGGTCTATATTGCTTCAAGCTTGTTAAAACTCAGCAAAATCTCTCATGTCATTTATCTTTTATGCAACCTTCTTGTTTTCAGACATTTTCAAATTCAATTAAATCCAACAATGTTGTTAGCTTGGATATTTGGCACCAACGTTTTGGGCATGCCTCTTATGATATTGTTAAAACAGCCCTAAAGAGCTGTAATGTTCCTTTTCATGCAAATAAAGCTAAGACCTTATGTGATGTATGTATGCAGTCCAAGTTTCATAAGCTTCCATTTTCTAATTCTGATTTTAAGGATTGCAAACCTTTTGATATTGTTCACTCTGACTTGTCGGGTCCCTCTCCTGTCATTTCTCACAAGGGATTTAGGTATTATGTTAGCTTTATAGACCACAGTTCAAGGTTTGTTTGGTTTTATTTGCTTAAATTCAAATCTGACACCAAGTCTGCCTTTCTTCACTTCTGTGCCTTGGTTCAAAATCAGTTCAATACCACAGTTAAAACTTTCCAATGTGATGGAGGAGGAGAGTTTCAGGCTCTTGAGTCCATTTTTTCTCAGCAAGGCATCCTTTCAAAGATTTCTTGTCCTTATACCCCAGAACAGAATGGCCTTGCAGAAAGAAAACATAGACACATTGTCCAAGTTGGACTTTTTTTGCTTTTTCAATCTAATCTTCCCTTTTCTTACTGGGATGAGGCATTTTCCAGTGGTACTTACCTTATAAACTGCACTCCTACAAAACTCCTGCATCATATATCCCCTTTTCAAGCTTTACACAATCAAGCACCTTCATATGATCATCTCAGATCTTTTGGATGTTTATGCTATCCTCGGTCAAGCCACATAATATCTAACGTGGAAAAGAATAGCATGCATGAAAATGCAAAAAGGAAATAGTTGTTTAGCTAGAAGACAATCTAACAACCTTAGCTATTGAGATGGAGACATGTGTCCCCTAAACCCTAGTCTAGACTCCTCAGTCGTCACATATATATCTGTTGTATAAAGGAGTGTGTGTGTGCGTGNAAGGAAAAGATATGCTGTAGAGAGGATTTCTCAGATTTCAATGAACATGAGATTTATGAATCCATTTTTGATGTTTTGTTGCTTTTCCTTTAGCTCAATGATGCTGTTATATTTCTTTTAAATTAGGGTTAATTTAAAAAAAAAATGTGATATGATTAGTTGTTAGTAGGATTTTGAGTTTATATTAAAATAATATTTAAAATAAAGTAGTTAAAGTTGATTTGATTTAAAAGTAGGAGATAAATAATGCGAAATGATAGTTAAATTATGTGAGTTGATGAATAGTGAATTAAGGCTGTTGTGATATTTAAGAATGATTAATTAATATGATTGAATTATATTTATAATATTTAGAATAGTGTGTGAGGTCAAAGTTGAGTTAGATTTTCAGTATGAATTGAGTTTTGATTGAGAAAATTTATATGCCTATTTATATTGTGACACTACAAAAAAATTGTCATATTCCAATGGTATAGATTCCGTTGAAATGATTCCAATGAAAATTCTAACGAAAATATTTTGTTGGAATGAATTATTCATTGGATTTTAAATGAAATTTGATAATTTCAACGACTATTATTCCAGCGACTTTTTTTTCCATAAGAATTTTCGTTGAAATATGTAATTTCCGTTGTAATTTCTATCTCATATTTCTATTTTCTATTTCCCATTGAAATCTATCGTTGAATCGTCAAAATCCAATAGAAAACTCATTCCAATGGAACATTTTTGTTGGAATTTCCGTTGAAATCTATTGAAAAATTCCAACGAAAATAATAGTATTGTAATATCCATTAAAAGTGTAATTGTAATTCTGTTGAAATATATTTCCATTGGAATTTCATCATTATGTTATAGAGTGGAAACGTCACTTTCTATGTCCTTTAACGTGTTTTGTTTTAATGGTTACTCATTATAAAATATATTAACATTTGTTGATGGAACTTGGTTTTATGGTTAATCTCATTATAAAAATACTAACATTTGTTGATAGAATTACCTCTTTACCGTTAGACTTTTTTACTTTCATATATGTTGTTTTAATTGTTAATCTCATTAACAAGTATAAACATTTGTTTACGAAATATATCAACCTAGTTAAACCTAGATTGCAGCACGAGAGTTACCAAGGGCAAAGTTAATATTTCATCTGAAAATCCAAACTTGCAAGATACAATAGGTGGAGAGAAATACGCAACTGCAGAAGAGCTAGTGGGATTTTTGGTCCCATTAAATTGTACCTTTATTAATATGGCATGTCCGATATTGTCTTCTAAGGCTGCATTTGCTATTCTAGATTCTCCGATATATTATAGACAATCTTTAGACAATCTGGCGTTTGTTTTGTGTGACTACGGCCCTTTGGATTGCAAAAGGCCCGGGGTGAATTGTAAATTAATTAATAATTATTCACGGTTTTACTATGAAGCCAACAGTTGACTCTATAGTGGAGCCAACTTTCTATATACAACAAATAAACCTACTATACTAATAAAATCATAACAATGTTATTTAAGTAATCAGAGAATATGGTAAGTTTATTTGTTGTATATAGAAGGTTGGCTCCACTATGGAGCCAACTGTTGGCTTCATAGCAAAACCGATTACTGTGATAATCGGACCCTTCCACAAGGCGTGATTGAAACAATCCAAATGTGTGTAATGTCTATTTTGCCACCAACTTATATACACTTATATATATTTTTTGACGAAATTTACCCTCCATTCCCTACTTAATTACTCTTATACCCATACAATATACCCTCCAAAATTGCACAACACATGGGAAGCTTCTCACAAGCCCTAGCACTAACGATTGGAGAGCCCTGCTGGATTTTATGAAGAACGTCAGTCTAAGTGCACACTCAAAAGTCAAAACTTATTGAATTAAATTCTAACGCATCATAATCTATTGTTAGTCTTAAGGATTTATTTTTTAAAATTTTGCCAATTCGCAATTCTAACGTCAGTCTAAGTGCACATTCAGTTATCCCGAACCTTACACACATTCACACGATTTTTCCTCTCTCCCCTTGCTATCGGTTTTTACGATTTCTTGCTCAAGACTAAGAACTCACGTGTGTGTTATGTCTTGAAAATCAAGGACTTGGTGTATTTATAAACTATGATATGAATCCTAAAGAAGTACTAAATATAGCTTTTTAATTGTGCATCCAACTTTGGGCCTAGCCCACTCCACATTTGAATGTAAATTTAAAATTTATAGATCTCTCAATCCAAAAGTAACTCTAAGTCGTGTGTATAATAAAAACGCAATATGAGTTGCTGTGAGTTTGTGACAGCGGAGACTGTTGAATCTGACACAATAAATTATTCATTCGCCTATATATATGCATATAGATATTGGGTGTTTACTCATGTTCTAAGCTACCTTATCTTTATTTGGTCTAAGCGTTCAAAAAGAATGGCTGATTTCAAGCATTTGGTACTGGTGAAGTTCAAAGACGACGTCGTTGTTGAAGATATTTTGAAAGGAATGGAGAAGCTGGTCGCAGAAATGGAGACCGTCAAATCTTTTGTTTGGTTAGTCCAAACATATTGTTAATATTTAAATTTCTTGAGAAATTTATGTTTATTATTTAAATTGTTGCATTAATTAATCAACTTTATTTTTTTTTCCTTGTGTGTGTGTGTGTGTTAGGGGAAAAGACATAGAAAGCCAAGAAATGCTTAGGCAAGGTTTCACCCACGCATTCTTGATGACATTCAGCAGCAAAGAAGATTTTGTTGCGTTCGTCAGCCATCCCAATCACATCGAGTTTTCCAACACATTTTCGGCCTTAATTGACAAAGCCCTTCTTCTCGATTTTCCAGCTGTTGCTGTCAAACCTGCTGCTGTTTGAAATATATAAATATATAAGAATCATTTATAACTAAATCTGTTTGTTTTCAGTTGCATTTGTTAAGTTTGTTGTTTTTGTTGGAGAAAAACTATGGTTTGCATGATTTTCTTTGTGTGAAGTGAAAATATCTACTACTCTCGTTTAGTAATGTAGTGATCAGAACTTCTTGTGAATTTGTCACTTGTAATGAATTAAGCTATTTGAATATATATTTTTTTTTTAATTATTATGATGCTCATTGCTTTTGAATGAAATTCAATTTGCTACGTTGCAAGAGTATAATAATATGTTCACCTTTTCAAAATGGACAAGAACAAAACAAGTTTTCATGGTTCGTGGGCAGATAATAAAAATTAAAAAGATTTGTGAACGCATTATACTTTTTTTTGTTAAAAAACAGGTAAAATGACTCATAATATTATTATGTTTGCCAATTTGCTATTTAATGACTTTTTTACTTTGCTCAATTTATCACCACTTTTTATTTCTCTGTAATCCTATACATCAGAGTCAACAATGAGTCAACACTTGCATCAGACGTGTCAATTAACATGAAAAAGACTAAATTGTATCAAATATCACGACCTTTTGAGAATTTGCACTTTATTCACGACTTTTTTATTTTGTTCAATATATTATCACCTTTTGTTTAGTTGCAAAATGGTATATTAAATTCAAAAATTGGTTAGTCTTACTTATTTTGTAAGAAGAATTTTTCTAATCCCAAAAGGCCCAACTCATTAATCTTCTGCAACTGGTAAAAAGTAAAAACAGAATTGTGAGAAGTTTTCTACATTCTCATGAAATTATAGTAATAATCGTTTGGTTGTCGATGATGTGGTAAAACTCGAAAATGGCTTTCATCCTAATGAGATGAACTGCACACATTACACTAGACTATAGAAATTTATACAAAAAACTCGAGCTCGGTACAAGAATCTCTTTCGGTGAAAGCGAGACGGGATCTATGGCATTGGGTTAAGATGCGATTTGCATCTGAAGAAACGCAGTGATTTTTTTTTTTTTTTCAATTATTATTATTCGAATTTGTACTTATTTATTTTGTTTGTGTACAAAATGTTCTATTTTTTTGTGATGGTCTTATGTTTCTTGTAAGAAGTATGCAGATAATGAGCTGGTTACATTTGAGCAATTGTGAGGCCTTGGTGTGGCATGTTTTCTTATCTGAATTTGTCTGCCTTTTTATGTAACAACAAAATTTCATTCAAGAAAAAAGAGGGAAGATTTTTTTATTCAAATGATAATTATATTAATAACTCAAAAGGAGTACACTCGAAATGTCAAATAATGCTACAAGAACCAGAACAAAGTCTGGATTAACCCCACATTAGCATTACGCAGACAACTAAGGGGTAAATTCCGGTGAATAAACCCCAAATTTCCTTCCTCGTGAATAAATTCCGGTGATACTTACTGCAATAATGGCTCCAATTCAGGTCCCGACTCAATGTCTTTTTCAATCAATTTGTTGGCCTTGCTTGTTTCATGCTGTGGTGAATCCAACTCTGATTGAACCAAGATAAATAAACATATTTTAATGAGTATTGTGATACATAGGAAAAACATAATAGAAATCATGTTTTTTGTTTTTTTTTTTTTTTTTCTTCTCCTCCTCACAATTTCTTTTTGGATGTTAATCTTCAGTTTGTGCAACAATGTGCTTTGTAATTAAATGATTAATATTGAGTTTTCGGGATACCCATCATAGTTTGACCAAATGAGAAGATTTAATTATGTAATCTGTAACATTATTTTGTGAATATCGACTTGAATTATGTGGTCTGCAACATTATTTTGTGTATATCGACTCAACCAAAAATTACTTCACCAAGAACTGTGGAAAATTACATTAATCTTTCGTAATTTGGAGGGAATGGAACTACATAAAGAAGTCGGGATAAGAACATAGTAGTCCCTTATTTAAAGGAGGTACTAGCAATTTAATTCGGCCTTTGGTATAAAAAAATATGATGGGATTTGTATAGTATTTACTAGCCCATATCAAGCTTTAGACCCATAATATTTCAACCAAACCCCATTTTGAAAGCAAGCCTCCTTGTTTGCATTAGTGATAGGCCGTGCATACGAGTGGATTTTCATTTTCTTCATCTTGTTACAAACTTAATTTTTCTGCATTTGCCATTGTACCTATATTCACCAATCGAGAAATGTATTGGCGTGTGAAATAAGATTAACATGTGTTAATAAGTCAAAGACTCGTCAAAGCTACAACATAAATGACATTTGGTAACATCAATGCTGTAACACTTTACAAATTATATGTTTATGTAGCACATTACCAAAACACTTTAGGTATTGTAAAATTTTAAAATATTCATGTAGCACTTTACAATAACACTAGTTTTACCCAGTGCATTTGCATGAAAAACGATATAATAGAAGAGAAAGTAATTAAATATATAGAATAAAATAAAATTATAACTTAATAAATAAGAAAAAAATAATTTAAAAAAAGTGAATCTAAGTGTTACTAAACACTTCTTTATATACAATATTCGTGCTTTTCCTATCGTTTGAATCCTCATCACAACAAATCATTATTGTTAAATCCCTTCGACTCGTGGCTCTGGAATTCGATTTTTTAAAATATTTGATGTATCTTAGGAATATCCAAAAAATATTTTTTTATTATTGTATGACTGCAATAGAAAATAAAGATATTTGAAGTCATTCTTAATTTGTTGTGAAATATGTATTTATATAATACAAAAAAATATATAGTATCAAAATAAAAATAAAAAACAAAAAAAAATTGTATTTCAGGACATAAAAAGGCGTTACAGAAATGAGCACGTTCCAAAATGAGACCTGTCAAAATAAATTGTGTAAGTGAAAGTTACATATTTTTATTAAATGTTGAACATATTTTTATTAAATGAACACCTATTTTTATTAAATGAACTCATATTATTATTAATTGCTGGCTGAATAAAATTTATTGAAACTTGCCATCAGTTATATATATAGATTTTTATGTGTTCATATTTAAAACATCTCATTATTGATTTCCTAATATGCATTTTCTATATTAATTACTGATATAGCTATATTATGATATACCGGTTTAAGTGCTAGCCACTCGACCCGAATGACGAGTTGAACCATCTACATGTCGACTAAAATACTCTAAGGTCGAGATCCTTAAGTCAACACCCCGATAGTCCTCTCTCTCTCTCTCTCTCTCTCTCTCTCTCTCTCTCTTTATACGCATTAAGTTTTAAGAAGGAAGTCGACTTCCTTAGGATGGCCTCCTCTACATCACTGCAACAGAGAAAGTCGACAATCTCAGGTCGACACCTTTAAGTCGGCATCCTCAAAACCGAAGGTGAATAACCCAAAGTCGATTTACTACATCAAGAAGGTGAAGACGATTCGAAGAGAAGTGGCAGAGCCTCCTGATACGTTCCTGTACGAGATCCCCTAAGTCGACTTCTCACTCTTCGAGATATAAAATGCATGACGACTCGAGGCACTTCAACATCTCCTAACAATTCACCTAAATAAGGGTGAATCTTTATTGGATAAGAAAGAATCTTGACCTGACTCAGATCTGACTAAGAGGTGATTGGAATATGAATCGACCCAGGCATTTTGGGTATATCAGGCTGGTATTTTTCTCTATATAAGAGGGCTGAGGTAACCCTAAACCCTAACTTCTACACTCTCTATTCCATTCTCCATCTCCTTGTTGCTGCTGCTGCTCCCTCTAAGCAGAGCTCTTTCATCTCTTTCTAACACTGACTTGAGCGTCGGAGGCTCTACGCCAGAAACACTTCCGGCGTTGAGTTCTTGCAGGTGTTCGCAGCGGGCTAGAGGATCCGAAGGTGGTTCAAACAGATCGGAGCTCGTATCCACCGGTTCACTCCAGATTTAGGAGCAGACCCATCAATTACCATGCAAATAAATAACTAACTAATTTACATAATCTATACCTATATATATGTGTGTGTGTGTGTGTGTGTGATAGGTCGTAAAATGTGCACGTTTTATATGTTTAATAGTGTATTTTTATATACATAATTTAATCGCACATTTGTATTTTCCGACCTATTTATTATTTGAATGGATTTATTTGTTTTGGTGTTTTATGTGTTTCTTTTAGGACTTTAGAGCATTTTATGAATCCAGAGCATCGGACGAGAGTTCGCGCGAGTCATTATTGGGCCCTAATACTAGACCAATCACTATAATCAAAGCCCAAATATAATTGGTTTGTTGGTTAAGGGAGCAAATGGGAGCTGCCACGGTTTTGTCAAAGAAAAAATTGGGACAATTAATTGATTTGGAAGAGAATGTTCTCTTGGGACACTCACGCGAAAGAGAGCTGGAGAGATGTAATTGCTTGGTAGTAGGACTCAATTGGACTCGCACGGCTTTTGGGACACTTGGCAGTAGGACTCAATTGGAGAAGATTTATATTGCAAAAAGTCACGAGGATTTATTTTACGCAAGAGAAGAAAAAGAGCCGCAGACAGAAAAGAAAAGCCAGCCGCAAGCAGTAGCGAAAGAAAAGAGAAATATGCACGCAAAGACGGACAGAAAAAAGGGCCCGAAGGTTTCACACGAGCGGAGGGAAGCCGCAATCGCATACGAGGGAGATATTTTTATCTTCTCTCATTTATCTTTTATTTAGTATTTTTTTTTTTAGTATGTTAGGCTAATATTTTTATCCAGTTTTAGGGGATGTTTGAACCCTAACTTGAATTTGTCTATGAATTGAATGATTTATATTTATCGTTGATTAATCGAGATGCCGTATTTATTTTTGTTGATGAGTTGATTTATGCTATCTGTGTTTAATGTTTATGAATTATGTGTATTTGATTTAGTTTGGCCAGCTACGTTGAATGTTTATAGTTTAATTGCTAGATTCGGGACTTTAATCCGTAATTGTTATTGTCTCGTTTCGTTAGTAGTAAACTAGGGGTCGTGCATCTCTAGGGTAGTGTGAACATAAGTTAAATGGTCCGATCTTTTGCGTCCATTGCTTAGATCAATCTATTTTCCTAGTAATTAATGCTGCTAGTGTATTAAATCTAGAGAGCTTATTCTAGGTTGTCCGCTAGTTAGGTTTAGTCGAAGAGCCTATTTCGATTAAATATTCGGTAAGGGAAAATTCGGTTAACAGAGCTTGTTGTTAGCTAGGGTTGGTAATTCGTTAGCAATTTAGAGAAAGCGTCA